GGCCCTCAACTGAGAAAGCAACCTTGATTTCTTGAGTGAAAGTTGGAGTCTTCAATGGACTGGGTTCGAGGATATACGATTGGGTGCGGAAGTTTTGGTACTGTCAATTTGGTATTACCTAAGAAGGGTTTTTCAAAGAGTCCTTCTGTAATGGCTGTCAAGTCTTGTGAAACCTTCAAGTCTGTTTCTCTCAAGAGCGAGAAGGAAGTGCTTGATCAAATTGGTTTTTGCCCGCAAATCATCCGTTGTTTTGGCGATGGTTATACACTCGAGAACGGTGAGAGCTTATATAATCTGTTCTTGGAGTATGCTGATAAGGGAAGCTTGGCTGATCAGGTTAAGAAAAGCGGTGGAAACTTGATAGAATCCGATGTTAGAAGATATGCAAGATCGATACTTAAAGGGTTACTCTTTGTTCATGCCAAGGGATTTGCTCACTGTGACATTAAACTTCAAAATCTTCTTTTGTTCGGTAATGGGGATGTCAAGATAGCTGATTTTGGATTGGCAAAGAGAATCGGGGAAGAAGAGGGAGATGAACCGAGGAGGATAGAAATCAGGGGAACTCCTCTTAATATCGCGCCAGAGTCGGTTAATGATAATGAGTATGATTCACCTGTGGATATCTGGGCACTTGGGTGTGTTATTGTTGAGATGTTTACAGGGAAACCTGCCTGGAATTTCAAACCAGGAACAAACTTGGCGGCTTTGTTGATTAAAATTGGTGTTAGTGACGAATCACCGGAAATTCCTGCAGAGTTATCTGAGGATGGAAAAGATTTTCTTGGAAAGTGCTTTGTCAAGGATCCAAATGACAGATGGACCGCTGAGATGCTCCTGGATCATCCTTTTGTGGCTGCTGATGATGAGACTGTTGCACTGGAAGAAGCATCGACATCTCCAAATTGTTCTTTTGAAGAATTTTCAATGTCGCCAAGATGTCCTTTTGATTTTCCAGACTGGGTTTCAACCCAATCTACAGCTTCTTCTCAATCAACTTTCCAAGAGAATTCAAGCCTCGTTTCATCGTTTTCGAGTTACGTTTCATCACCTTTGGATCGGATTCATCAATTGGCTTGTCATCAGGCACCCAATTGGTCAGTTTCCGGGAGCTGGATCACGTTGAGGTAGAAGAAGAGAAAGTGGTTCGATTGCCTTCATCAAATCTGACGGCTCTGATCCAATTGGTTTTCGTTTTTTGGTAGCAATTGGTGACCATTTTTTGATTGTAAATGATTAGGAAATCTGGGCAGACTGACTTTTTGCTGATGATGAGTTCTGATTGGCCACTCAGATGGCCACAGAGTGTACAGCCATTCTTTGTTTGAATTTTCCTTGAAATAAAAAAAAATTTCCAAATCCTTTCCCAACAAATATTGAAACTTTACATACGCAGAAAATTAACCCTGAGTTAGTTAAGAATTTGTTGGGCTGCTTCAGTTCAAGTTCCAATTCCAATCAAATTGTACCTAATCATCATTTTTTTACAGCGGTCGGTAATTGTTCATCTAACATTGAGATATTCAGTCTACCAATCCGTGTGTTGTATTCTCAAATTCCGAACTTTTGACTGGACCCCTCGAGCATATGTGAACATAGACTCCTAAATTTCAAAGAGTAACATATTCATGTTTTCGAACTTCCAAGGACTAATGGGAGAAGGTTAGGAAGAGATGAATCTGCTACTTCTCTTTGATGAAATCATGGTTGACATATTGCAGTCTGAACTGAATTCACGTGTGAAACTCATGCTTATTTTCCTGTGGAGCTGATTATTTTGTCCAAACTCCAAATACCAAGCAGGGCAGCCACCTAGCCAACCAGGCAGGGCAGCTCAAGTCATACAAATCAACTAGTTGAATTTCTAACTTTGGTGATTGACTGGCACTAATTTAGATTTTTCAATCATGTAAGGTAATGTTGATGTCAATATAAAGATAACCGAGTAAATGTTTTTACTTCTTTTCATTTTCTTTAATATTTCGTTCTTTTATTCAGAATTACACAGTCCATGAACTTTATATATTTACACATTATAAATCGGTTATAATTTTAAATTCGACAATAAAAGAGAAATTCAGTGAAGTATCATTGTCGATCAATAAAATAACTTAATAATAGTGAAATGAGTGACAAAGAATTTCCTTGCGTTAAGCAATAATGATTTCTCAACGCCCAGAAAAAGCAAAGAGTATAGGCAGACTGCAGCCTGCCGACACCTCTGTTTAGATTGCCCCAACCCAAGCATTTTGTAAAACAACCCGTCGGTGCAGGATAAATCATTAAGTGGGACTTTGGGTTGTGTTCTCATGCATGACCAAAGCTAAACCAACTTGCTTTAACCATTTTGTACTCATATCCACACCAAACTCTTTTTCTTTCATTTCAAAAGCAAATAAGTAGCAGCAATAATAAGGGATATAGCAACTCAATACCAAAACTAAATGTTAATATTAAAATATATGAACCCATATCAATATGTGGACAGGAGAATGCAAAGTATTAAACTTAACAGCTCATCAGTACTTTGGATCCAATTCCATGCACAAGATTGGCATGCCATACATAAAGAAGAAACGTTTTACATGAGATTCATATGCTATAAATAACATCCAAATGTCATTACTTCATAACCACGCCCTCTATATGTATATATATTTGTTTCTTCTAAAGTTATGATAAAGAATTTATGAAGATCTCCTCACCTAATCATCATGATTCTGGTTCATGTTGCTTTTGATTGTAGCCGGTTTGAGTTTTTTGCAAACCTTCCTTTCATTTCATTTCATTTCCTTTTCTTTTTTTTTTTGTTTTTTTATTATGATTTTCATCTTGGGTTTTCCTTCTTGAACAAGCGATGCGTATTAGTTTGTTGTGGACTTTGGATCATTGCAAGATTAGACTTTATGCTAACTTTGTAGGAGGAAAAGTATAACTGATTAAGAGTGCTGGTTTAATTTATATGGGATTAACAAACCTGGGACCTCTCCCCTCTGGAATTTGGAATGGATGGCATTTAGTTTTGTCACTATGATGACTTTGAACTTTGAGGCAGAGTCTGGCGGCTAATGAAGGCATGGCAAGTGGTTAGTTGGCTACACGGCTAGAAGAGTTTAGGCCCTCAAAAGAGCTGTCCCCACATCCATAAACTGGCATGTTCTTTCCTTTTGAACTTACAGATGCTTTGGCTTCATTACCAGCAGAAAAAAATGGGAAAATGATGGTACATGTTTGTAATTGATTCTTTGAGAAATTCAGGAAAAAGGAAAGTGTGATGAAAATGTTTTATCATCATGTAGACATGCCATGAGGAAATGGAAACTGCAATTGCCTTGAATGCAGACTTTGTTTTTATTCAGGCAAGTTCCTGGAAGCTCCTTGTCTAAGCAGTTCTTTCCTTCTTTTTTACCTTTCTTCAGGAAGTTAGTCCACTTCTCCTCTCGTGTATCCAGCTAAAAAGAATGATAAGATTGATTCCAGGCATAGACCAGCAAAGAACATAAATTTGGGTTTCAAAGGTACATGTATGAACAATGTAGCAATTCATGTAGACCACTTTTCTGCCTGAAGGGGGTGGGAAATGTCCAAGTTAGGATTTGAAGCCCCTCTCTCTCCTTCGGCCCAGGCCCCAGTTTTTATTACTTAATGTCAAGTTACGTGAATCAAATGGTCAGAATTATATATGCTTGTCATTTAGTTCTATAATTGAACTTGAGCTTGATTTATAATTTTATATGTATTTAACAAATTAGTGTAGTTTGACCAAGAAAAAGGTGATTTATTCATTTAAGCTTTTGGATTTATAGAGTCCAAGAACAGTTTGTTATAAATGTGTAAAACTTATTGTTCAAAATTAAGTATAATATATGCACGTTTTATTCCTAAAGTTGATATAATTTCATTATTAAACTCAAAAGTTAGAATACATTTTCATATTTTTTTCATTAATATATGAAAAATTCTATAAAGATTAAGGTTGAGTTTGTAATTATAATGCATAGTTCAATTTATCTTGGAAAAGTTCGCCGAAACCCGTTTAATTATATGTATATAATTTAATATTACCATAATAAAAATACGTTAATTTTAATATTTGTAATATTTGAACTTATATATTTTTTATTATAAATAATAAAATGCATTATTTGACAAGTCTAATGACAACCCAAAGCATCTTTGTCCAAGCCCAGCCCAAAGGTAATCCGGCTTCCCACTACTTCTAAAGATTTTATTAAAATTTACAAAATTCTAAACGAAATAAAAAGAGTACATTTTAATGAACAAAACCTTGATTTTAAAATTGTAAAAATATAAATTAACTCGGACACTTAAAAGCATACTGAAAGTCAATATCAAAATTACAATGTGTAAGACAATTTTTAAGATCAACGGCTTATTTTTCATCGATCCGTAAATTTTTTTTTATTTTTATATTTTTTCCTTTTCAAACATGAAAAAATATTGAATTTTTTTTGAAAATATTCTTATACTTTTCAGTCCGACAATTAAATATATATAATGGATATAATCTAAGTTCAAAATTGATACATCTTCAAACAAAAATTTGACTTGAATTCCAAATCATATATTACATCTTAATGCCCGTTAAGGCAAAAAAAGAGAAAAAAGTAAAGCATTCAACAAAATGTTCCAAATATTTGGAGCAAAGCATAAAAATTTATATCCAAAACTCGTTTAACTTATAAGTGTAGACAAATCTTAGAAAGGCCAAAAACTATATAATATTTAAACCACCGACCACTAGATTTCCTATGCCCTCTGATTGATTGTCACAGCCAGAGAATCCTGAGCCCGGTCTCCACGATCCAAGCTACTCGCGTAAACTTGCCTGGCCACTCTCGTTCATCTCACCCTACCATATTTTCTCTCAAAATAATTTCGGGCCATCAAACAAACGATAAAATTATTAGCTGTAAATGCATTTGTTTTTTAGTGAAATAGCCACGTTCATCTTCTTGGGGTCCATGGTTACCGAACATTCAATTCTCTTGTAGAACTTGGGCTTGACCAACTTGCCCAAAACATAAGCCCTAGAACGAACCATGAAGTTGAGTGTCAATGGCACTGGCTGAGTCGGTGCGCCATTCAGACTACCCAGGCTAGCCCC